GGGACATGCATCCCATAGGAAATTCGCAAGATTGAAAAAGAGAAAACATCGCGCATACAGGGCGCGCGATGTGCATTGCAAATAAAGCGGCATACACTTACATTCTGCTCGGCGGTCCTCGTGGAAGTTCAATGTGGTTCACGCGCGTTATTGTAGCCACCGTCAGATGCGACATCGCATGTCCTCAGAACGCCGCCAAGCTCATTCGAAAGAAGCGTCGCGTGAATCCCGTATATCTGACAAGCAACCCGTGTCGGTGTCCATTGAGTCGCGTCCTAATTGCGCGTCCGCAAACGCATCGACAGTGACGCAGCTGTTTATCGTACGATTGCCGCTCGTATGGCGCGAAATTTTAAGCTTTGTGTTGACGATGGCTGTATTCCACAATTTATTGCCAGTACTGAAAATCTATAGTTTATATTACATACACTATAGATTTTCAGTACAGACTTGAGAATGTAGCTGATGCTAGGAATCGCTCTGAGAGTTCAGAGAAAAAAAATAAATTTAATTAACATTAAATATTTAGGATATTTCACAAATTGTTCAATTCTTTCTCATCCGAGATCTTGGAGCAATAGCTGTGTTCAGCGGACTCAATCATTGAGTAAGCGTTCACTGCTATTGATATATTCTTCCAGATTTAAAACGCTGATCGGATGATCTAAAAGAATACACCAATAATAGCAAATGTTCACTCAACAGTTGAGTGAGCCTTCGTTGTTATTAGCTGCGTTCAGCAAAACACAACAATTTTGCAACCATTTTTTGATTGTCTGCTGAGATAGGACTATTCCTCTTGATCTAAAAGCATAACTCAATCAGCGCAAAGAAAACTTGCAACAGTAGCAAAATAAACATTATGCAGCATTCATTGATGTATTCTTCCAGATCTAAAATGCTGATCGGATGATCTAAATAAATACACTGATAACAGCGAGCGCTCATTCAACTACTGAATTCGCAGCCAATGGCATTTATTTTGCAACTATTGAAAGTTTTCTGGGTTATGCTTTTAGATCAAGAGGAATGGTCCTATCTCAGCAGAGAATCATAAAACAATTGCAAAACTGTTGTATTCTGCTAAACACAGCCATTTGCCCGTATTCATAATCAGACCTTGTACTTCCTTAAATTTATCTTTAGATGTTCAACAACCAAGAAATAATTCATAAAGTATCTAAATTTAAGGAAGCTTTAAATATAAGGCCTAACTATGAATACGAGTAATTGAATACGACTTATCGGAACGTTCTTTTGCAACTTATGCTGATTCTACAATGAATCGATAGTCGGAAGTTTTAGTTTTAATCGGTGAAATTAGCCAATAAGCCTTAGTCGTACAAGTGCTATTGGTTAATTTCATCAACAAGACTTAGGACTACCAATTACCGACTCATTGTAGAATCAGCGTTAGAAATTTTCTTCGCAGAACTATATTTAACTATATTCCTCTATATTTAAAAGTATAATCCAATTATTAGTAAATATGAGTAAAAGAGTAAATTAAACCGAGATTAAAGTTAATGTTGATGAAAATAGGCATTAATGTGATGATCTTGCTCTTAGTTTCTCACTGAATTTGAATGTATAAATCAATCGATCTTATTAAAGAATATCTTACAACAGTTGCAAAGCTATTTTTTTCTGCTGAAGTCAGTACCGACTTTTTGATCATTCCATGCTATAAATAAGATTTGTATTTCTTTTATGATAAAATAGTGATTAAATAAAATCCTTCTTATTTATCTTCAAAAACTAAAAAAATTAAGAATATCAGTACCTTTCAAATGCGGCCGGATTTCTCAGACCGAAAACATTAGATTGATTAGACGTATGTGTAGAATCAGTAATTAAATATTGCAACACTTTTTTTAATAGGTTTTTTTAACAGAATTCAGCCTACTCATCGAGTAATTGGTTCGCATTTATAGATTCATAAGAGTAGACTGCATTCCGAAACCTATTAAAAAAAAAGTTACAACTTTTTAGTTGCTGACCGTACAAAGAATACATACACATGCCTTTGAAATTTAGTTTTGATTATATAATATAAAAAAATTTTCTCTGTTGTTTTATTAACATTAATATGG